GGGATGAAGGGGGTGACATGCCCTGCCCGTCAAGGTAAGGGGTATCGAGGTCAATGTCCGGGAAGAAGTCATCGAGGTGATCAATAACGCCCTCGACTGGAGGTCTGCTTGCCCACAGGTCTCCTTGGGCAAAGGAATCCCTGCGGGGTGGCTTCTCTTCCTCCGGCGAAGCACTCATGTCAAGGAAGGACGGGTTCCTGTTGCCCGATTCCCCGCTTGAACTGGCGAACGTTTCGCGGGTAGCACTTGGGGACCTGAAGCTAACGGATAATCCTTTCCGTAGCCTGTTTTCAGTGTTCAGTGTGAGAGACGGTTTCCCGGCTCGCCTTTGCGACTCGGGCGAGACGGACACAGGCGGGTTCTCTTTAACCGGGGTCTTGGTACTCGCGATGGGAATGGCAAAAAGACCATCATCGGAGTCCTCGTCGGAGTCTTCCTGGGGCTGCTGTGGCACCGGTGACCCTTGGAATGAGACCTTGGTCTCCTCAAAGTCAAATTCGGGTCCAAATGACTTGCGAGACTGCAGAGTCGGTTTTGGTTCCTGAGGAGTCGCAGAACCAGGTTGTGCCGGAGACTGGCTCGAATGCACTGTCGGCGTTGTTTGGTTATCTTGCTCCGATGATTGCGGTCCTTTGAACTCCTGACTGGCAGCAGGTGGCGTGGGAACTGATGGAGACGGGGTTCCAATGGCGCTGGTCATCCTACCAACACTAGCCAATACCGCACCGAGACCATGAGTACCATGTGGTTGTGCGGTAGTCTGTATGCGGGGCCGCTCAACATCCTTCTTCCTTAGTGAGTTGACTTTAGTCAGTGTACTTGACTCGTGAGGCGCAGTGGGAGGCTTGCGAAGGGGCACGAGCGGCTCAGACTTCTTGTCTTCGTAAGGAGACGTCCGAGGTTGATCAAAATCAATGACACCTTCACGCCTGTAACCAGTTTCGCCATAGACATCTTTTCTCGGCTGTGGCATCGGGGGGACCTTTGAGATGCGATAGGCCCTCTGTTTCCGCTCAACCTCACGCATATGTTCTTCGTGACGAGCTAACAAGTCTGCCTTCTCGGCATCAGTCGGCAGTCCTGCTTCGGCGCCACCATCGACTGGAGACGTTGTGATTGATGGTTGCGAGGCTGGCGGTAGCTTGGAACTGGGAGCTTTGAGCTGCTGCCGTGAAGACACTTGAGGAGACGTAGGCTTGGCTGGGTTATGAGGAGATATCCTGCTGAGAGCTTCATCATCAAGCGGCTTTCTATGCAAATGGTGAGCAGACGTGGGTGAGGCTGTGCCCTTCTCTGGGATCGAAAGCCCCAAGCCGTAGTGAGTGGAGCTATTCACACCCAGTTGCATATGGGGCCCTCGTACAAACAGCTTCAATGAGCCAACCGTGTCTGACTTGGTCCGTCGACACAAAGCCAGGCTAGTGTCATTCAACGGCTCATCGTGTTCAGTCTGCCCGGGCTCTGTCATGAAGATCTGCGCCCCAGTCCAATCAGCGATTCCAAGGCTTTGACAAATGGCAGAACGCAGTGTCTCCACAGAGTCCATCTCGGTTATGTCGACCAAGCGATAGTTCCATCCGTCCAGAGTCACAAAAGTCCACTTTTTGCTCTTTTGCATTGGCTTGTTACCTCGCAACGCCAATCGTTCATGGTCCGACATGGATGAAGACGACGGCCGCTCGCCGCCCAGCGACAACTCACTGGTGCTGAAATTTGGCCTATTATAAGGCAGCTGCGAGCTGTTCTGGCGCATGTTCACTGGACTGGTGGGAGACTCCAAAAAAGGCTCCTCTGGAGACGGGTGGTTGGAATCGCCTGCCTTGGAACGTTTCTTGAAGAAGCCCAGCAGCCCATTACGGTGGTCTTTGGGGTATGAAGACGGGGTTTCTCCACCAGAATGACGGTTGCTTGACTCCTGGGGCGAAGGACGGATCCCGCCGTCTTGCCTGATGGATTCATAATACCGGCGACCAGTCGTCGAATCCGAACTGTTGCCGCGTGAGTGCTCGAACTTGACGCCTAGATCTCCCGTGGATGACGAGGGGCCTGTGTGTGCAAGAGTAGCATGCTGCGCTGCTGGACTGCCGCTCTTGGGACTGTCCTCATAAGATCTAATAGGTATCTGAAATGTTCCGCCATCGCTGGACATCGAAGGGCTCTGCCTGTGATGCTCGCCGCCAATGCTAGACAAAACAGCTCGCGAATAGTCCGATCGGGACCACATTGTATTAGCTTCGCTCGGAGCAAGCTCGGAAGACGCATGATCATGGGTGGTGGGTATGGGTGTTGTAAAAGAACGCATCTGAACGCTCTGTCTTTGTCCATATGCGGGCTGTGGGGCCTTGAGATTAGGGCTGTTTGTGAGATTCCCTGTTGGGCCCGCGGACCTGGGCTCGTAAGTCAATTTCGGCGAAGCGTCAGGCGCGCCATCGTGGGCGCTTATCGGGTGAGAATCGCGCCGCTTCTGAATAGAAATTTCGGTATCATAACTGCCGTCGTCATGGATCTTCTTGATCAAGCGGCGCATGCGTTTGCCCTCTTCCCGTTCACGGATCTGATCCCAGGGAGTGCCGCTTGCTTCGCACACTTTTGCAAGATGAGGATAGACCACCTGGTGCATCTTGCCCAGGTTGGGCCGGCCATTTGACCCATGTCCTAGCTCGAGGAAGTCGGCCCCCTGAATTTCCAAAGACCTGAATGTTTCCTGCCAGTCCGTGGAGAATCCGTTATTCGCAAGCCATTGGAGGACACGATCGAGAGGCCACTGGACTGAGGCCTCATTTGGCGACATGCCACCAAGCAATGTATTGTGGTTATGGCGATGACTGCCCGATGTGGTCAGTTCCGAAGATGGCGCAGACGCCTGTTGTAGCGAGTTTTGCATGTTCGTGGCAGAGTAGTTGACTGAAGCCATATCATGAGCACCATCATTGACAGCTAGAGAGGAAGGTAGATTGCGAGTCGTAGAAGGAGTGGCAGGGACATTGGCATCCCGTTTATACGGAGAAGAGTCGGTGGCCGGATATTCGTAGGCTTGGGTGGATGGGTTCCGCTGTCTGTCGCTGGGCTGCATTGTCCCCGCACCGTCGTACGTGGGGTTCGAGTGTACGTCGAAGGGCGGAATCCCGACCCCCGGACCAAATGTACCAGCTTGAGGAACGTAAGTCGCAGACGTCCGAGTTTCAGCGGAGGGAATCGACAGAGCTGCAGGACGCCCGTATGGAGATTGATTCGCAGGGACCATAGGGGGAGGCGGAGGAGGTGGAAGATACCCTTGTGAGAGTGCCTGCCGTGCCCAGCTCTGCTGCTGCCACCCAAGTGTATTCTGATGTTGCAGTTGGGAATTGGTAAGCTTGGAGGTGCCATATGCTGTCCCGGGCGGTGGTCCCGGGGGCGGCGGAAGCATAACGCCCTGCGACTGAGTAGGAGGATAACGAGGCGGTGGCGGTGGTAAAGGTATTATGTGCGATTGGGAGGGTTGTGTCGCCGACGAAGGCGGGGGTACGGGGATGTACTGCTGCGGCCGTTGACCGTCCATATTGGCGATGTCTGCGACGTCTCCAATGGATTGATGCAAGGAGGCGGATGTCGGAGTCTAACGAGCAGACAAGTTGTCCTGGAAATCCAATAAGGTTCTGCTCTCATATACCTCACGGGGCTGCGCAATCAAACTTGTCCCTGAAGTGGGGACTGATAGATCATGAAAGCTTAGAACCCAAGGCAATCCCACATTGTTCAGAGCTAGAACAAGCCGACACGACGCAATCGATGATGCCCCTCAGTCCGAGCAGCACTTGGAGCGGTAATTTCAGCGACCAAGATGGAAGAGCAGGCAATCGCCTCTTCTCGAAGCACGTCAATCAAGCGCAGATAGCGTCCAGATCGGAGCGAACGACAGTACGTAAGCAGGAACGGAGGGAGCAGAGGGACGGCATCAGCTTTTTTCACCTGATCGGGGAATGGACGGGGGGGAGGAAAGAGGAGGCTGGAAACTGGAGAGGTCACACGCAAGTCGAGCTGCAGACGCAAACCGTAGCGAAAGGAACAAGTTGGGCGTTCTTCAGAGGGGTGTGTCAAATCCTTAAAGATAGCTGGATCTCCTAAAGTAAGTCAAATGGTAAGATTGCGGCAATCAACCCCTAATAATCGGGACAAGTCCAGTCCCCTCTAGCTTAATACTAGTCGAAGGGGAGAGGGGAGAGAGAGGGGGGGGGAGATGATGCGGCGGAAGGCTCAACGGGGAAGCTAAGACATACCATTAGCAAAACCGCTGGGGATTCGACCGCACGGTGGATTAGTGGCAGGTGGCGGCAAATTAGCAGTCCACCGTATAGATTAATTAGGTGTTTCGTCAAGGAAAGGGACAGAGGCCTGCTCGCCAGATTCATATGGGGTAGATACTTTGGAACGAGTAAGTAATCTAACCTGTCGCCGTGTGTCGCGGCCCGCCCAGGGAAATCCTGAGGAGCTTTGATGCGCTGGCCGCCTTAGCGCCTGCCGACTTGTCTGTCCTTCCCGTCGATCACGTGGTGGCCTCCCCCCGATAAGCTGCCCCAAACAAAGTCAGTCCCTTTTTCTCGCTGTCTCTCCCCTTTTCCGTCACCTTTCCATGGGCTTCTTAGACCCATCAAGTGAAAGGTGGGCCAACCCTTCCATTCCACTGAGTCACTGACAGTTGTTGCCCCCTGTACGTAGTTGTTCAGCCCTAGGGAACTACTCATCTCTCACCCCTTTTCCTACTTGATTCCTCCTCAATTGGGCTGGTTCGTACTCAGACCTCACTAACTACATTTGTACTACTGTCCGTTGCCGATGTGTTTATCTATCTGCTTGCCATTCCTCCCCAACTTTGGACTGTCTCAGACGGCACGTTGGGCTGGCTGGCTGACTATCAAGCTAGTTCCACTATGTTTTCCCTTGGCATTGGGAATGTATGATAAGCACTAGACTCCCTAAACGCACCACCCAAGACCCCAAATCATCAATACGGAAAGGGCACGTGCGCATACAACTTGACTGGAATTCATTAGATTTCGTATTCTGCAATTACACTACCGCTTCAGAGTCATGTCTGTTCCTCTCCAGGAGTGACAGGTCAAGCTAAAAGAAAGGGGAGAAAAGCGTTAACAGGAAGAAGCGAGATTGCCTCAAGGCCCTGGAGATCCTCCGTTACTTGTTTCTGGTGGCCGCCGCCTCAGCCGTGATTTTCAACGCGGCGGGAGCATCATCACGAGGCATGTGAAGCTCCACCAACTGTGCCGTCTTGGTTAGCACTCTCCTGGACAGGATTGAAATGCTAGGGCAATGTATTACTTACTTGCAAGTGTGGCGCAGAAGCAAACTCCTGGTTTGCAAATAGCTGCCTCAGCTCATCCCGCGTCTTTACTTTGTAGCCCGTGTACTTGTCCTTGGCTCCAAAGGCCCGGGGCAGACCCTCAATATCCCACGGCTGGATGTCATTGTAGCTTTCGTCCCATCCGTGGATGTACCGCTCAATGGTGTATCCGTTATTGCAAATGACGAAGCTTGATGCGGTCAGTATCGTTACAACCTGGATCTTATCACCGTAGGGAACACTCACATAATGGGGTTGAGATTGTTTCGGATCATGGTGCTCAGTTCCTGCACGGTGAGCTGAAGACTTCCGTCACCAACGAACAGAACAGTCCGACGATTGCCCAATTCCTTCGCCGCCAGCGCAGCACCCTGACATGCCCCAACCGAGTAGCCAATGCTACCCCACAGAACCTGGCTAATGGCCGTGACATTTGCCGGGAATCGGGTTTCCCAAATGCCAAAGTTGGCAGTACCCGTCTCGGTAATGACAATGTCATTCTCCTTCAGCCACTGACCAACATTGGGCCAAAGCCAGTCGTGCGTGATCTCCTGGTTGCTCGAAGATTTCTCGCTCTCAGGAAGCGTGTTGGAGAGATGCGGGACTGGCGCGGCGTTGACAGCACCCATCCTCTGGATGACTTTGCGCAAAACTCCCTTCATGTTGATCTCTGGGTATTCAGAGTATCGCACGCGCACATAAGTACTGTGGAAATCAATGGTGTTGAGCTGTCCGATGTGGTACGAAAATCCGCTGGTGTTGAAGTCTGACTTGATAGCACCGATGCTCAGAATAAGATCGGAAGACTCGACCTGCTCACGAACACCCGCATTCGATCCAGTGCCAGCATACACACCGCCGTAGTTCGGACGAGTCTCATCCACTGCTCCCTTGCCCATCGGAGCCACGAAAGTAGGCAGGCCGGAAGCCTCCATCAAGTCATGAACTTCATCAAGGACCCGATGACGGATGGCACAAGCATCCACCAAAATAACGGGTTTCTTCGCAGCGTGCAAGTACTTCAGGACAACGTCCACCACATAATCTTCCTTCTCAGGGTCATTTGTTGGTAGAGAAAGATCCAGCGGTTTGTCGAGGCGGTCACCTTCGATCTGCTTGGTAATCATGTCGGTGGGGAGACTGATGTAGACAGGTCGACTGCGGATCCAGCATTCACGGATGGCATTGTCGATTAGTGTTGCAGCCTCCAGTGTCTCGTTCAAGCGACCGAGGGTACAGGAGATGCCTGCACTCATCTTCGCAAACACATTGAAGTCGCCATTTCCCAAGGTGTGGTGCAGCAACATGCCATCTTTCTGAGACTTGGTGTTGGGCTGACCCACGATATGAACAATTGGCACAAACTCGGAGTACGAACCAGCGATGGCATTGAGCGCTGAAAGCTCACCCACGCCGAAGGTGGTAATCAGGGCACCGATTCCGTTGACCCGAGCATAGCCGTCGGCGGCATATCCTGTAGGTTGTTCAAGTCAATACTTGTCACCATCACAAGGTAGTACAATCACAACAAAAGGATGGGTTCAAGCATACCGGCGTTGAGTTCATTGCAATTGCCCACCCAATGGAGGCCACACTTTGGCAGATAGTCCAAGGCTGCGAGGTTGTAGTCACCTGGAATAATCCATGATGGTTAGCGGGATCAAACACTCCCCAAATCCCCGAAGGTAAGTCGCACCTGGAACGCCATGCACAGAGCGAACGCCAACCTCATGCAAACGACGGAAGAGGTATTCGGCAACCGTGATGGGCTTCCGAAGATCCCGGGTAGCGATATCGGTCGCCATCACGATAAATTGAGCAGTGCGAGAAGATGGGGATTGATATAGCTAGTATGGAAAGAAGCGCGAGAAGTATTGGATGTGTCTGAGAAGATGATATTTACTAGGTGTTGAGGAGTGAAAGAGTATTAATAGGTGCCTCTGACTGTCGCAACCAGGGAGTCTGGAACCTAGTGTGGCCGTACGTCATGAATGAAAGGGCACGCGTGATGTCATGCTGTAGAGGTGGAACTCGAGACAAAAATAGTGTCACCGAACTACAATACTCACGCAAACAGCCACACCATGCGACGGTGAATGGCAGCGGGATCTCCGGGATCATTCCTACTGGATAGGTATTTCATGCTTTGCGTGAATTCCAGGAGATCTCCGACCATGATGGCGTGGATGGGGTGGTTTGATCGTATATTCCTGTCAAATAAGCTATGGCGGAACCCTGGAAGTAAGAGATGCTGCGGAAGCAGCGATAAACTGATAACAGCAGATGCACTAGTTTCAAAAAGCAAGCAAGTTCAATCCGGCCGAAACCACTTTGCAGTAAGAACGCAGCAAGTAACCGGCCGTCACTCCACCAAGTGGGATGATGATCGCCCGCTTTGCCGCTATTCCTTTTGTGGAATTTTAAACCCCCCCGCGCCATGCCTACCCTTATCTGTTGGGAACCCTCGTGTCACCAGTAGTGCATCTAGAACTTCTAGGACCAGCTTAATATCACCACTAAGCTCGAATCTTCCCTGTCAACTCGGACAACCGGGCAACGTGCGTGCACTCCCTGCGGTCAATTCTCCTCCCCACTTGCCCACGCACAAATCCCGTACCGGCATCCCGTCTCATTCACCCGCGCATTAACATCTGTCGATGGCTGGATCAGGGAAGAGAGCCATGCCTGATAGGAAATCCGTTCAGCCTGCTAAGAAGAGAAAGGTCTGCCCCATCTGATGTCCGTGGCATGTTGACCACAAACATCTCCCCATTGGCTTTTCCCCATCTAGTAATTGATATCTAATGTGTGGCGGCACAGGGAGGTGGCCAATGGCAGAAACACCAACAAGGCAATAAGTCGGGCATTGAGGGAGGCGACTGGGGAGTTTTCGTGTCGTGCGACTTGGGAAAGGAAGGAAAGTGTATGGCAGAGGTAGTGGATGTTTTCTCGCAGGTTAGTAGCATGAAGTGCAGGCTTTGCGCATAGAGAGAAACCCACGGTATCTGGCAGATTGATAATATGCTCCTCCATCTGACTTATTTTGGTTTTATGTCCAGAGTGTGGAGTCATCCAGCAGTGACAGTCATGGAGACAAGCCCGACTCGGATGAGGAGGATGACGATGATGACATCGAGGCCCTAATCAGAAAAGAGGTCGAAGGACTGAAGCCCAGCGCGAGCAAGTCGCGCCCGTTTCATGCCATCAGAATGGATTTGCCGTGTCGTGCGTTACCCTCATTATCCTCCTTGAAAGTGATCTAAGTTTGAGAGACACTAATATGTTTCAGTGTTGTTTGTGCGATTTGACAAATCCATCAATCCAGAGGAAATGGTACATAAACTTTGCTTAGACGCAGCTGCCAACCCTGAAAAGAAGCGATCTCGATACATCCAACGCATGACACCTGCAATTTCCGTTCGCAAAACTCTCAGTGTCGACCTGGAGTCTTTTGCACGGGAAGTCCTCAAACCGCATTTCCATTCCGGGGGGCCTCCCAAGAAGGTGAGTCTCGCTAAGGCCTAGAGGGTCATGAAATCTCATTGACCAGTGAATTTCAGTACGCAATTCGACCTGTTGTGCGAAGCAACAAGAAGTTCAATCGCGACATAGTCATCAAGACTGTTGCAGATGTCGTGGGGCCCGAGCATCCTGTTGATCTCAAGAACTATGACTTGATCATCCTCGTCACCGTTATCCAGGTCAGTTCTCGACGGCCGCGGCTTCTATGCCACTCATTCAGAACCCATTACTGACAATAAACTATCAGAATGTCATTGGCATGAGTGTTGCCGGAAGCGACTACGATCGGTTAAAGAAGTATAACCTGGCCGAGTTATACAGTCCAGCGGCTACGTCAGAGGCAGAGGCCGCTGAATCTACGAAGGACTAACCCTACATTCTCCCCGAGTAAATTTGGGCGAACAATTGGCGTCGGGCAAATCTTGATTAAGTGGCGAAGTGTGGTCGCCTCATCAGCTCCACGAAGACAAAAGCTAGAAATGTGTATATACAAAGTTCGCGATATCCTAACAACTGAATTGCCCTCTCTTCCGGGTTTCCCCTCTATGAGCCACATGAACTTTAGAGCCGACACATGATGCGTAGAAACCGGCATTTCAGTTCGAAATGGTGTAATTAAGAGATAAGAGGCTATGGCAAGGGGAAGCATAGTTCATCTAATCCCCGCTCGAGGGACGGTCCGGCTGCCAATAGCCTGATCGGAGGCCGAACAGAACAGGGTTGTGCCCAAAGTTACCCAAGAAGCACAAGATACATAAGGCGGCACAAGCCGCCTACCTTCTGCGAACATTGTGCGAATGGTAACCAAATAGCAGGAAGATATATCATCGTAGGAGCAGTACTACTTTGTTCTATGCATAGACTATGGAAACTAAATAGATTGAGTCCGCTGCAACATCGGCATTCGAACCGGCCGATACAACCGGGGAGATGCGCATTCGGCAAGGCCCGCCTGTGATTGGCCCGGTGTGGATGCACCCTGCATGGCGCCTTTCTCAGAGCGGGAGCCTTAGGCGAGCTGCGTCTCCATGGATCACAACTCTTTCCTTCACTTCCTGACCAATACTCCAATGATGCTTCTTGGGGTCTTCTTGCTCCAGTTTAAACAGTGGGGATCCCGGACGGATGTCCCCTTCAGTAAGGGGCTTCGGATATGGATCTTCCGCTTCGCTTAATGTTTTCAAATAAGGGATATGCTCCTTGTCCTCGGTACGGGGTCCCTCCATCATCTGACGCTCAGAAACGAGATCGATCGACTGGTTTCCCTGTTCCTAGTAATACTTAGCTGTTGCTGCTTTGTGGGTTAGATAATCTATTACCTTCCTTGTTCGACTGCAGTAACCTGCGTCTTACCTCTGTTCCATGTCCGGGCCCCAGTGTATCCCCGGGTTGCGGCCGCCCTGGTCTTTCTCCCCGATGACTGCAGTAAAGATTTGCTCGCTCAGGTTATATTTGCTTACCTTCCCCCAACAATATGGATCATCATAATTATATCTTGTACTAGTAGCGAGCATGCGAGCGCTAAAGCAGAAGAGCTAAAGTGTTGCGCGAAATGTCGCCTTCTTTATCTACTATCTTAGTTCCTGACCTTGAACCTTCTTATACTCTCGGCTCCATCCTTCAACGCCACTTTTCTTCTTCGGTGCAAGTCAAAGGAGTCTATCCGCTCAAGGGCCACCTACATTCAATCAGTCGTCTCGTACTGTCGAATGGGGTCCAACTGCTTCTGAAGTGTTCTCCAGGGTCGACAACACCTCTCTTACGACGAGAACAGCTTCTACTTGAGACTGAAGCCCGTGCTCACTCCATCCTGGTTCAACAAGACACTCCATATATCCCATCTTTCCTGCATTATGGTCTCCATGGAGGACCGTTGGGCTCTGCCTTCTTAGTAAGACACTATGTCAACGGGGCGACACTGCAGGAGCTGGAAGCCGCGCTTACCATGCAAGAGCGGGATGATCTCAACCGGGCCTTGGGGTCATTAGCTCGTGAGATCGGACAGAATTTCTCCAGCTCCTTTGGGTCACTAGATCAGGTAGCCTGTGGATCAGGGAAGCAGTCCTGGCGAGAAGCGTTCGTGACACTTCTAGAAGGCATTCTTCGGGACTCTGAAGATGCCTTTGTTCATCTTCCATATGCGGAGATTCGAAACCAAGTTCGTCGGCTGTCCCCTGCACTCGAGGAAATCACGTCACCGCAACTAGTGATTGTTGGACTAGGCCGACCGTCGCAGGTGGTGCTGAATCCGGGGTCGAAGAAGCTCGCAGGACTTCTAGGGCTCGAGAATACTCTCTGGGGCGATGTGCATATGGCGGAGATCTTTGAGGCGCCGTCTCCCGCTGTGTTGGAAGGCTTTGGTACTCGACTGAAGGCAAATAAGGCCCAGGTGGCCCGTCAATTACTGTATGTGATCTCTAGATGAGACTGCAGAAGGTGGCATATAGTCTGTGTGCTGACTGTCGACCTCTTAGGTATGCCTGCTATCGTGCTGTGCACCAGGTTACGATACACTACTACCGCGATCAGGGAATGGCCGCCGAGATTGATGCTAGGAGACGACTAACGTCGATATTAGCTGAAATGGCCTCGGTAGACGGGATTTGCACGTTATGTTAACTTGCGATATCCAGGGACATTGATGTACCCTGGAAGATTATATAGATGGATCTGAGACACAAATTAGTTGGCTCGATCGGCCGGGCCGATCTGCAGCCAGACTTTGGGGGTCTCAAGAATGGGAAAGGTCCCTAGTGCTACATAGCAGTGTTCGATCATAGGCCTACATGATGATTACGACTTTGATCGCTTGCGGAGAAATCATATGAAAATCAAAGCCAATAGTCCAATGCAAGATTCGGTCATATCGGCATGGAAGCTGTCTTGGCGATGATTTGTTGCTGCCTACGAAGTTTGGCGAAGTCCTCCTTGATTCCCACCCAGATGAGAGATTTGGTACCTGAGGAAATACGAACTCATTCTGTGCTGGAACCAATACGGAGAGCCCTGTTGGAGAACATGGCAATGTAGAACCCTACACACAATTGAGCAGTAGTAGAGAAGGACGGATCATCATTGTAATCTTCAACAAGCGCGAGCCAGCAAGGGATCCCCATTTGAATCCCGCGGCGGGCGGGGCACAACGCACTAAGCTGGACTAGTCAATCACCTTCAAAGGTCAGTCAGCCTTAATGGCGTCAACCGTTTGGGTGGATTTCCGCGGTTGTCATTGAAACAACCACTTCTTCTTCTTCTTCTTCCTCCTCTTGCTCCTCTGCCGCGGGGTGTCGTCGCAGCTTTATTTTTATTGTCATTTTATGATTTAAGTAGCTCTTATATACTACCTCTCAAGCGACTTCTCATCTTCCTTTTCCCTCTTTCTCCTCCTCCCCAACCCCATCCCTTGAGTTCCGTATCCGCCAGAATGGCGCATTTTCTGCGGGGAAAGCAGGCCGGCATTCAACAGGACTTCTCCGAGAACTTGTCGCCGGACTTGTTCGCCCTCGATGATGTATATCACTAAGCAACGCCCCGAATATTTACCTTACTCGATCCTGTCTCGTGCATTGCATACTAATCTCCTGCTGTTGCTGCTCATAGTTCGCACGGTGCGGTATAAACTCCCAGATCAGTGCGATCGCGTACGATCCCGTCCAGTCGCTCCTCGCCGTCGGAACAAGCGACACACAATTCGGCCATGGTCAGATCTACGTCTTCGGTCAACGACGAGTAGCGGTGGTGTTCTCGCTACCGCGGAAGGCCTCTGCCAAGTTCATTCAGTTCTGCGCCGATAAGCTCGTCAGTGTCGACTCGAAAAGTGAAATCAGCATCTTCTCCTTGGAAACTAGACAGACGCTTGTCTCGTACGCTCCGCCGAGTCATGCGAGCGCTTTACTGACCGACCCGAGTCTCGATTATGCTTTTATTGGATTACAAAACGGTATGGGGTATATTGAATTGGATTGTGATGTTTCTCGTGCTGACGAGGTATCATTGATTAGGTGATATCATTGCCTACGATCTGGATCGTGAAACTTTGACGCCGTTCCGGGTGCCCAACTTGTGGGCTCAGCGCAATGCCCGTGTTCGCCTTTGTCCTGTTCTCAGTCTTTCCTTTTCGCCTCGGGATATTGGGAAGATCTTGGTGGGATACCCGGAAGGTGCTGTGACGTTTTCCTTCAAGCAGAATGTTGCTCAAAAGTATTTTGAATATGAGGTCCCACCCGGTGCTCTGGGAGGAAATGGTGATGTTCCGGCGTCGGAAATGCGCCGGCCTCGACTGACTAGGGCCCTCTGGCACCCGAACGGTATTTTCGTGTTGACGGTGCATGACGATAATAGCTTGGTTTTCTGGGACTCGAAGGACGGCCGCAAAATTATGGCCAGATCCATCAATACCCCCAACGTTGACCAGCCGGGCGTAAGCCCCGAACGACCCCAGTCGGCTACCGGGCTCAAAGACCCAATCACCAACATCGCATGGTGTGTGAAAGACAACGGAGATGACAGTGGACTATTGATCGCTGGCGGTCGACCGAAAGCTGAAGCCAACAAAGGGCTGACTTTCATTGACCTGGGACCGACCCCTAATTACCAGACTTCCTCGTGGGCAATGATCGCAAAGTACTTTGAGACCCCGAAACGCACCGCAATCCTACCTACTCCCCCCGGTGCGGAAGTGGTCGACTTCTGCCCCATCCCTCGTAGTACTCCTTACTATGGCGGCGCCCATGACCCCATCGCATTGCTCGCCCTCTTGTCCTCAGGAGAAGTCATCACGATGAGCTTCCCTAGTGGTCATCCCATCACTCCGACAAACATGCTCCATCCTTACCTTAGTTTCGTGCACCCCTTCGTGAACAAGGTCACCCTGACGTCAGTCGATCGTTCTGCTTGGCTGGGTTTGAAGGAGAAAAGATCACAGGGACCTAAGTTTTTGCTCGGAGGGGCGGAGGTAAGGAAGCCGTTAAAGCGCTTCGAAGACCGTAATGTTCTTACGACGGCTCATGCCGATGGCACTATTCGCATCTGGGATGCTGGTGTTGATGACGAGATCGAAAACGGGGACGTCGTTCAAGTGGACCTGGCCCGAGCTGTTGGCCGTGTCGGAAACGTAGAGGTGACCGAGATGTCTTTTGGAGGCTCAACGGGTGAGCTCTCAGTCGGCTTGCGCACCGGCGAGCTTGTCGTCTTCCGATGGGGAAACAACCAGAGCTTTGGTCGTGAAGAGGCTCCAGGTGCCAATGAAGGGCCTGGAAAATTGACCAAGATCACTCACAGAGTCGACCCTGGACTGAAGACGGGTATCCTTCCACTGACACTCCTGAACATGCAGCAAGGCCCAGTGACTGCCTTGAAGCATAGTCAAGTGGGCTTTGTCGCTGTTGGATTCGAAGGAGGTAGTCTAGCAATCCTGGATTTGCGCGGGCCCGCAATCATCCACACAGCTCACTTTTCTGAGCTGTTCAAGGTGAACAAGCGAGGCAGTATCTTCAATAAGCGCAGCTCTGAGAGCCCGGCTCCTGAATGGC